GCCAGAAACATAAGACATCTATGCAGAAGTATCATTTGCAGTCCTCTGTCCAAGAGCGTCTGTCAGTCCCTGGCTAGGCTGTTAAAATGCCATCCATTACAACACCAGAGCTTCTTCATTAGCCAGGCAGCCACATCAGAAGGTTTACAAACTCATGTCAAAAAGAAAGTAAAAACTACGTATTCTGCCAAGCCCAAAGTCTCATCTTCTTGGGCCAGATCCTGACTTAACTATGTGGTTCCTGTTAGATTGGAGCTGGATCTAACTGAGGGTGAACTGTATGAATGAAGGTCACCAGCTCTCTCTTTAAGTAGCTTTAAGCCATATCCCCACTCCTTCTTGAAAGGAAATAACCAATTTTTCATATGTTTCTGTTAACAGCAGTTCTGCTGACAGTCTGCTGCATGAGGAGAAAGAAAAAGACATCCAACCCAGAAAACAATCTGAGCTATTGGAATAATGCTATTACCATGGACTACTTCAACAGGCATGCTGTGGAGTTACCGAGAGAGATCCAGTCCCTGGAAACATCAGAGGTACCTCACTTGCATAACTAGTGGTTGAAAACTGTAACTGAAGCCATACTGGGAGACAAGGAGAGCAAGTCATATTAATAAAGCCCTGAAAACAACTGTTTACGAGGGTGGATAGTGATAGGGCAAGGGGGAATGGTTTTAAATTGAGACAGGGGAGGTTTAGGCTAGATATCTGGAGGAAGTTTCTCACACAGCAGGTGGTGAGGCACTGGAACAGGTTGCCCAAGGAGGCTGTGGATGCCCCATCCCTGGAGGCATCCAAGGCCAGGCTGGATGTGGCTCTGGGCAGCCTGGTCTGCTGGTTGGCGACCTGCACATAGCAGGGGGTTGGAACTGGATGGGCATTGTGCTCCTTTTCAACCCAGGCCATTCTATGATTCTATGATTCTATGAAATCTCTATGCATGTTCAGGGAAACAGCTTTTCAAAAAGCTTCAACCTCTGTCCAGCAAGTCTATCATAAGGTGCAATAAACAATAATAAATAAGCCTATAGTTTTTCAAGTGCCAGTTCAGAGAGTGAGTCCTCCAGTACATTAGTGATCCAAACATCAGCATATGGGAGTGTATAGGGCTGGCACACACTCCTCAGCTTTTCCTGAAGGGTTCTTTGTGTTTCACTGGTAGTATTCCTGTATGGGCAGGTGATCCTACTGATGGAAATACTAGCTGGCCTCAGAGTCAGAAAAGAATAATTTAGCTTAGTTCAAAGGTATTTAAAACTTAGAACCAGTGAAGAGTTTGAGCTTAAGCTGAAGTGATTTTCAAGAGATCAGCTGGCTAACTAACTCATTGGATTGAAATAAAAAAGTGTTCAGAAAGAAATCTGTGAGATGTGACAAGATAAGCACTCACAATCACCTCATCAATGGCACTTTGCTGGCAATCATGGAGCTCCCGCTGAAGCAGGATTCTGTTCTAGACTTAGGAAGCAGCAGCTTTCACATGATAGGACCATTCACATGGCCTCCAGTAGTGCCATGTGATCATTTTAAACTGATTGGAATGCTACTGGACTGGTAGCTTCAAGCCATCTATTCGGTTGTCTGACCTCAAAAAGTAGTGCAAATGCATCTTTCACAAGTTAAGCCATGCTGTCAGGTGGGAATACGTCATGAAAGTGAAAAAAAAAGAGAAGTGGAAGGTCAAACACTGGTTTGGTGTGTCTGATTTGTGGGTCCCCTTACTGAGAAAAAAATCAGCCTGATTATCAGCAGAATTGAGGATTGTCAGAGAAAAGAGGATTATCAGAGCAGTGAGTGCTTATCTTCACACACGGCTCCCGCTGCCTGCAGAACTGGCTCTCTGAGGTTAGATCTCCTTTTGGAGCCCCCCACGACTCAGGCATTTTCTGCGGGATGGGACCGAGCGCCCCAGGACAGAAGGAACAGCCCTTTTCTCACACCTGAGGGCTGCTCTGTGCGCTCCGCAGGGCGACGGTGCGACACGCTCATGCTGCTCTCTGCCCTTCTCCTAGGACCACCTCTCTGAGCCACGCTCCCCTGCCAACGGCGACTACCGCGACAGCGGGATGGTGCTCGTGAACCCCTTCTGTCAGGAAACGCTGTTTGTGGGCCACGAGCAAGTCTCTGAGATATGAGCCCACAGCCGCCCTCCTCCTGCAGTTTCATCTCTACTGTCTCCAAATTATAAATAAATATATATATTATAAATATAACCTTTGTGTAACCCTGAATTACAAGAAATGTTTTCAGCTTTTCTTTTCTTTTTCCCTCAGAATTGTCAACCCCTTTTTTATAAGTGTGGTAAAACTTTACAGAACAAACTGTGGCTTTATAAAATAAAGGTATTTCTAAGCAAAACACCTGTCGGATTGACTGCTTTCTTCCCTGTCCTTTACAGCCTGTTGCTAAATCTGCTTGGCCTGAAAGAACACTGGGTAAAGCCGGTTCTGATGCAGGCAGTGTGTTTGCTATAGCATCCTGCAATGGTTTCAGAGCAATCTGAAGTTATGTGATGTCTCTCAGCCTGGCTGTGTGTTCCTGCTTGGTGACCATCCCCTCCCTACACTGTATTGCCAGCTGGCTTAGGTCATTCCTTTAGGTTGCCAGGCTGGGATACAGGCAGAACAGGACCAGTGTGGTCTCCAGTAGCAGCCCATGTGGCTCACATGCCTGTCATGCATCCTGTGCATGGCTCCAGTTCTGCCTGTGCACCCAGTGGGATGAGTCAGAGTCTGAATCCCACTGGGGTCTGCAAACTCAGCAGGGAAAGAGCAGGAAAGCTGGGATAGAGCAGGATGATGAATGAACCTAATACACCCGTGGGGTCCGGGAGATGGGCAACCCACCTGGGTAGCAGCATTGCCCAGTGACTTTTTTATGCTATCTCTCTTAGATAGGAAGACTTGAGCTCTAGTTTTAGCTTTGAAAGTGTTTTACAAGAGCAGAGATCAGAATGGCCTTTTTTCCTACATAAATGCCCTAACAATTACACTTTGGACATGCAGCTGCTCTTCTCCAGCCCAATGAGTCCTGAATTACTTCCCACAGAGCAGACAACCTCCAAAGAAGGCAAGTAGAGTGTCCCCTTCATAGGAACAGAAATCTCTGCAGTGTTTTGGAGCAAATTGGCATTTCAGTCCTACCCAGTTAAGCACCAGATTGCAAGCTGTAATAATAGTGTGGGAATAGGAAAGGCGAATGAACCTTAAATGATGGGTTAGAAATGGGCCATTACAAGCAGAGGGTAACATGGAATGTGGAATGACTTTGCTAAATCGATGTTCTCTCTTCAAGTAAACCTGAACTGTTAACACGGGACCAATTTTTGGTTTTGCTCTGCAGAGTGTCTTTCTCACTTTGCTCAGCAAGTGGAGTGGCTTCTGTCCTTTGAGGCCTCAGCCGTCTCCCATCCATCTTTAGCCATTGGTCCTTGTAGAGTACTTTCTTCTTTCACTCCTGACTTCATTGAGAGTGGCTATGAGGCAGCACAGAGCTTACCCCATGCTCTGGCTGGCTGCTTTGCACCACCGGCTGCACAAGGTTATCAGCAGAAAGGTACCTCGGGCAAGGCAAGGTCAGAGCAGCATTGCTAACCACACGCCTTGCTGAAGCAAGCCACATCTGGTAACAGAAAAGGGAATTCTAGCTGTGACACATCTCATCCAGCTGTACCACCTGCCAGCAGAGTCCCATTGTCTGTGGATCCCCAGAGCAATCTGACAGATTGATTACGTGATGGCTGGAATTGCACCAAGATGCAGCTCCCTCAGGGGCTGGGGGCCATAAAGGCATCTTCACCCCTTCTTTCTCCCTGTCCCACACATGCGTTTCTTCTGTGCTGAAGCACAGATGTGGCTTCCTAAGATAATGCAATTGAAATGTTAGAGATACTGGATGCTTCCACTCGGAATCACAGAGTGATGCACTGCTTCCCTCAGAAGTTGCAGGGCAGGCAGTAAGACACAACTGTGTGTGGACAGGGACAGGCATGAGGGAAGGTGTGGGACAAGCAACATGCAGTGAGGTACCTGTGATCCTCCTGATGAAATACCAAACAGCCTCCTGCAAACTGCTGGCAGGTGACAGAGTAAAGGTTTCCTGAGCATCTTGCAAAAAGCAAAAGCAATCAGATCTTCAGCTATTAGGTATTTTGAAAAGGGGGTGTAAGGGGAGAACAAGTTGGCAAAGAAACAAATCAAGTTGTCACTGGAATATACAAACTCACTGGAGGATTCCTCTCCCTTAGCCAGTCCAGTTTGCTTGGAAACCTCAGTCCACAACACTTGAGAAAGTACTCAGAGCCACATGCAGAGCTGAGATGCTGTGGTGTCCACAGGCTTCACACAAAGGCGCATTGCCAACCTGACCTCCAGCAATCTCATTGTGTTTGTACTTAAAAGTCAAGCAGAGACGTGAAGGGTGCTTGCCCCTGAGCTGAGACTGCTGGGCCAGGTCTGCGTGCCCTGGGGAGGCCGAAACACCGAGAAATCCAGAAGCTGTCCGTAGAATGAGGAGGGATTCAAGTCCCTGCAGCACGAAAATGTGAGCTGGGCATGGCCACGGCTCTGCAGGCCCCTCAGAGGTTGGTTTTAGTTAACTTGAAGTAATGTCTTGCTGCAGGAGGGCCTGTCTAGAGTAAGCAAGCAGCTAGTGTGTTTGTAATTCATGGATAGATGGATTAGGGCAGGAGATCATCCGGACGTCAGCTCAGAAAACACCGCTGGCATTTTCACGCTTACGCTGTCATGAATTCCTGCCCCGCTGTGCCTGTAAACACCATTGTGCTGTTCATCTGCCACATTTGCAGCAGCAGCAGCAGGGAGATTTCCCCTGAAATGGATTGCTGACCCAGCGGCCGCCCAGACAATGCACAAAGCCCGCCTTCCAGAAAGCCGTCGCACAAAGCCGAAAGCCCCACCGAACCCCGACCTGCTGGGCTCGGCACATCCCTCCCGCCAGTGCGGGGCTGGCGGCGGGGCTGAGCGGGCCACAGCGGCACCATGCCCTTGCCCAGGCGCCGGTCGTCCTTCCTGGGGCAGCAAGCCCCTTCCTCTGCCACCGAGAGCGTGGGGGGCCCGGGGCGCCGGGTGAGTGTGGGCAGCCTGTCACGGCCGCCTGGTGTCTATGTGGGTGCCGTGCCCACCGGAGGAGTGAGCAGCTTGGGCACCCGCGTGTCCCGCCGAGCACTGGGGATCAGCAGCGTCTTCCTGCAAGGCCTGCGCAGCTCCTGCTCCGCCGTGCCCCTGGCCACAGGGCTGGAGAAGGGCAGGGGGCTCTCCTATGAGAGCCTGAACGGCTGCCTGGTGGAGTACATCGAGAAGGTGCGGGCCCTCGAGCAGGTCAACCAGGAGCTGGAAGAGCACATCCGAGTCTACCTGGACAAGAAGTCCTCCAGCGTGGGCAGCTGGGGCGCGCTGCGGGAGAGCTGGGAGGCCGTGTACCACCAGGTGAGCGCAGGGCTGGGGAGGAGCGCAGCATAACCTGGTGTGTGCAGCCGACACGGAGGGTGTTAAGTCTGTCCTCGTGATAATTACAGCCTTATCGTTTCGCAGCGTGCCGTGGAAAATGCTTATTAAGGAGGAGAATTGCCTGAGGCATCCTGTGCATGGGAGTGATTGAAATGCACCCTGAAGTGCCATACTCTGCTCTCGTGGAAATGGGCGATTTCTTTAATATTTTTCTTCCTTAGCTGTGGTTATTAAGCTGAGCATCAAAATTATTAAAAGGAAACTGCTAGGACCGAATTAGCTTATCCATCATCGTGATATCATTACAAGCCTGTTGGTTGTGTTGGCAGTTTTTTTATTAATTAGCAATTCAGATTTTTACTTTATTCCCTTGTTTGCTTTATCACGTTTTCCAAAAGCTCTATTTATTGAAAAATGATCATTACATGACTGCAAATGAGCGACTCCATCCCCTTGCTTCCCATTGTGGCCATCTCCTGCTCCTGCATCCCCACGGAGCAGAGGCTGTGCAGTCCTGGGAGGCTCTAAAGAGAAGCACTGCCTGGGGGTGCCAAGCTCACATTGATGCCGTGGACCAGCAACAAGCCCCAAAGGATCACATCCTCCTGATTCCTTTTGCTGGGAGTAAAGGAGCTGGAAGCAGTCGGGCTCTGCTTGCCAGTGTCCTGCTGCAGGGAGAATGAGGCTCTGTTTCCTTCCTTCAGTGCTCCTTGAAGGTTGCAGCTCTTTGGCTCTCCAGCCCATAGTCTTGCCACTCGTAACCCCTGATGTCTTACAACAGTCTTACAGGGGGCAATTCTTTTAGGACCCTGTTGGATGGTCTTCAGGAGGCCTGAAAGGCAGCTTCACATTCCCCAAGAACTTCTGTGCTGTGCCACAGGTGTATACAACACAGAGTTGTACCTCTGGCTCAGGAAAGAGGGTGTGTTGTTAGTGTGCTGCACTTTTAGGGCAGGGCTGCACCCAGAATGCCTTAAATGCCGCCTGAACCCCATGTGCAATGGGATAACCAATTCTATGACAGCATAAACCTCAACCATCTTCACATTCAGCTGTGAGGTGGGGTTGTTAGCTTTTAACCTTGTGTGCAGGCAACATTACAGGTTTTATAGGGTACACATCAATCTCCCCGGCCTCTATGCAGCTGCTACTTTTCCCAAGGCAGCGCAACAAAAGGCCACTCTTGCTAGTTTCATGCTTTTCTCTTTTGGGCTCTGAAAACAGGCCCAGCCGTGAGAGGCTGCCCAAAGGCATTGCAACATCAGTGCTTGGCACCTGAGCAGCAGCACGTGGATCATGAGCCTTTAGTCTGGCCTAGCTTTGAACTGGAATGTGTTGGAGACAGTGGTATGATAGAAACCATTCATTTCAGCATGTAGAAGGAAAGATTAAGCCAGGGTCTCCTAAAGTTTTCCTGTGAAGGCATCACGTGCAAAATTAAAAGCCCAAATGATTTTCTGTTATATGAATAATCAACACATGAGACTCGTTATCACACCTGAGGCCATGGACTCAGCAGCATCCAGAAAGTCATCAGGCATTGGTAAGAACAGCAGAACTATGCAAAGCTATTAAAAAAGCATAGCTAAGAATTCGGAAGGTGTGGTAAATTGTGCAGTCCCAAACTTGGACAGGTCTCTGCTAAAATGAGAAACTGCCAGCCACCAGGGCTAAGTTTGGCCTGTAAGTGCCATCACACATCAGCAAGGATGCAGTCTGCATGCTCGAAGCACACGGTTTTTCTTGCTGCCAGACATAACCCCGTGAACGTGGGTGTTGGTGCAGCCTGGTGAATCAGTAGCTTCTATTCAAATGATATCTTTGCTAAAAGTTCAAGTTGTGTTTTCACACCCACAAGGTGAAGTTAAAGAAAACGGTTGAGGCATTCTAATTGTTTCGTATCACAAATATTCAGTGTTAACTTGAGCTGGAAAAACACACTTTCAGAAGGTGCATGTGCATCACAGATCCAAATGCAGAAAGACAACATGGGGCTTAAAGGAGCTTTTATTATTTGTATTTGAGCTCTAAGTTGCCATCCTGGCAGAGAGCAAAGCCTGCAGCAGCCCCACGAGGCAGCACAGTCCTGCTTTGGGCTTTGCAAATGGAGCCAGCAGGGCCCTCCCATGGCCTGCAGACACAAGCAAGGCTGTTTCCTAAAGTGCTGCATTGCATCTTTTCCTATGTGTGTCAGCAGAGTGACTGCAAATCAGTCTCACATAATGCTATGTGTTTGGATCTAGTTGTTGATTAGGAGATCTACATCAAAGGGGAGAGCCACTAGATGGGAGTCTTACACTTCCTCTTTTTAAGCCAGTAAAAGGGCTCATGTAAATTGGAATTTCTCATGAAACTTGGTTTACGGAGTAATAATCCTCCAGGTTCACTGCTGCATTTCAATGGTACACAGCTCTCTTCTGCTGATTACAGTGGTGATTGCCATCTTCCGAATCCTTTTTTCATACCGCTTTTATTTCTGTGGCACTGTTCAGGTTTGTGCCATGATGCAAAGCCCTGAAGTTACCACCAGGCATCTGGTGCCAGCAGCAGGTCTGTGAGGGGTTTTTACTGCCTGCTGGAGGGGGTCAGCTGTGACCAACAGGTTATCCCAAGTGCTTCAGCAAAACCACAGGATTACTATTACAAAGCACCTGGAAAAAACATTTTGCCTCCGCATAGAGGCAGAAACACCAGCAGTGGAAAATTAGCAGCTCTTTCCTGCTCCTGCTACCATTGCAGACCATGAGCCATTTTGCACTGAACTCAACTTCTCCATTTGTGATTAACATCTCTCTGAACTGCACCGTACATATTTGCAGGCAAAATGTTCCCGCTTTCCTCAAAGGCTTTCATTTTCCATAGACATTCGGTCAGATACTGTAACCGTGTGGGCTCACAGCTGGAGGCAAATTGACTTGTTTTGGCAGGTCAGGGCAAATCACAGGGCAGCATTTATTTACACTGAGTAGAGTGAGGGAAAAAAATATCAGCTTCATCCAATTCATCTATGAGTGGCAGCAGGAGAACAATAAGCAGTAATTTCTATAGAAACAAAGGGGAAAAAAGATTTCAGGATCAAATTTTCTAAAACTGAGGAAAGAAGATTCAAGCGGTGTGTGGGTCAACCATGCTGCTGCCACGTGGCCTTTTCTCCATCCTGCAAGGGGAAAAAAGGGACACAACAGCATTGCCCCAAAGGCTTTGGGAGGTGCAGCCAGGCTCCACCCCTTCCATCACACAGCTGAATTGCCTTCACCTGTGCTCCTCTGGCTGACTCAGTGCTCGCCTCAGGTGGTCAATCAGAGGCTCAGGCCGTGATTCGGCAGCCCCATACACTGAGCCACTGCTGTGTGCTGGAGAGCATGAAAGGGTCTCGTGGCTGGTCTGGCTGCTATGCCACAAGGCATGTTCTCTGCCCACACCTGTAACTTTTGTAACATCTTTGACTTCTGTACATTACTCTGTGCTTTGAAGGTTTCTCAGACCTAAACTGAGGCTTATCTTGGCCCTTGGTGACATTTGTGGAATTCAGCCCCTCTGTCTAGGAATCCCAGTGTTATAAAAGAAAAACTGTCAGCTCAACATGTAATGGCACAAGTTCTGTTTCCTCTGGAAGCCAGGCTAAGCTAAAGCTGGTAGGAATGGGCCTCCAGCCATGGCCACTGTATGGGAACTGTTGTGTCACAGCCTGAAGCACTGATTGATCACCTGAGGTGAGCACTGAGTCAGCAATGGAGCACAGGTGAAGGCGATTCAGCTGTGTGATGGAAGGGCTGGAGCCTGGCTGCACCTCTCCTAGACCTATTTAAGGGCTGACTGCCACAGGGAAGGGTTTCTTTCTGGAGTTTTTTCTGCAAGCCTGGGATGTGGGTGAGCATTTTCATTTATTTTTGATTATCTCTTTCTACCATGATAATCCTAATTACATGACCTGTGGAATACCAATCTAACCATGTTGCTCTGCTGATTGTATATTTATTGATTGTACAGTCATCTTTTCCTGTTGCTTATAACAGCAGGTGAGAAGTAAGCAAGTTGTTACTTTTACTCCAGTACCTCCTCAGATTTAAAAAATGTAGACTGCTACTAACTTCCAAACCTCCACCAAGAACATCTCAATGTAGGGAATAAGACAATAATATTCCCTAGCTCTCTCCTACTCTATGAGCTTGTAAGAATGTTAATTATCACATCACATACCAAGGTTTCGGCATTGCATTTCCCCCTCCACCCCCTTCACTGAGCAGCAGGCTGTGGAGGAGGTAGGAGGATCGCACCGCAGCACAGATCCCACTGGCAGCACTTGGGGTGACTTGTCTGAACGCAGCCTTGATGCCCCATATTCCACAGTGTGTTTCACCTTGGGAGAACAGGACGGAACACTTCAAGGGATTTGCAATCCCATACAGCTGCAGACTTAATTATTCAAATTAAGATTTCTATATATAGGGTTTTCCTGGCTCACTTAAGAATCTGCTCCTATTCCTGTGGTGGTTTGGTTTCAACCACAAATCTCTGTACGTATCTCCTGGAAGAGACCAAAGAGATGCTTCTTTACTCAGACTGTCACAGCCCTACAGGCTCCTGTAGCACCATGCAGCCTCCCACTCTTGGTCCTTCACTACCAACCCTGTCACATGGCAGCCACTCCCTGAAGCAAGGACTTGAGGTGCAGACAATGTGACTGGGTCTGTACTGAGTGAGCTTCCAGGAAGGTCCCCAGCTTCAGCTTGTTGCTGATCCTGGAGGTTGGTCCCAGCTGTCATCATGGCCTCTCTGGCTTCAAGCTCGGTTCAGCTCCTCCAGAGTGCAGCAGCGGTCTCAGGTGGCTGGGCCTGTGGAGCCTCTGATTTAAGTGGTTGCTGTCACCCTAATAGCAAATTGGACCTTTCTTCAGCCAGTGCATGTGATGCTCTAGGGCAGGCTGTGGCCTTTTTTATCGTTTTCTATAACCCTCTTGAATCCCAAGAGGGTGCTGTGTCACAAGCCTTTCAGATTTGATTGCCCCTCAAGTGCCTCCTGGGGATTAAAGCTACACCAAAGAATCCTAGCAACAATACCACAGTCTTATTGGCACAGTCTCTCCAAAGCTCTTCACATTTGCTGTAGTAATATTTGAAGACTGACTGCTTCCCAGGTCTTGTATCTACAGCAAGAGCGTATGCAATCCCATCAGAGAAGAAAAACAGTGCTCTGGGAACTGAGGACCACTCTCTCAAGGCACAAGCATCAAATATTCCTTGGCTCACAGAAGATGACGACCCTGAGGAGGACTGCTGATATGGGAAGTAGAATAGGAGCTGCATAAGTGCTCCTTAAACTGTATCTAGAAACTCTAAGTGGGACTTAAATGCTGAACATACCCTGTGTGCAGTAATGAATGTTACCCCTTGTGACCAGCTGACAGTCAGGATGAATGTGTTTCTACAAGAAGATGAATCTTTAGGAGCAACGAACGTGTTGGTGAAAAATCACAGCCAATTTGCAGACGAACTGTGAATTGATATGTACAAAACTCATTGATTAAATTACCTGGAATGAGTCATGTGAACAGCCCCAGGCTGAAAGATTATTTTCAGAATAAGAACTGTTCATCTGCTTAAGACAGATGGGCCGTGCAGGTAGTGCCTGTGTGAGGTGCTAATTGCTTGAGCTGTGTTGTCTCTCCCTTCCAGGTGGGCGAAGCAGTCCTTGAGAACGCCCGTCTCATGCTGCACACCGAGAACATTCAGGCCTCTGCTGAAGACTTTAAGGACAGGTAAGACCTGTGGCTGCACCTGGCTGGCCTGCTTCCCTGACGCTTTGCCTTGGCAAATGCTTACTCAGTGGGGTTGTAAGGCTTAGTGACTATTAGCCCAACTAATGTGGGAGGGTTGTTGTAACACAGAAAAATAATTACAATTCTAGCATTATTTTGAAATGGGTTCTGAAGATTAATATTTATTAATCTAATCATGTGTAGTGTTATTCTTTGATATAAGGGCATTGATCTCTTCCTGAGAGGCCAGTATTCATTCAGATTAGCGTTGAAACTTTATAGAGGCAAGAGTTTGTGTGATTTTTAGTTCCAATTTGCAGTGCTGCAGCAGTGAACTGTTGGCTGTTCTGCTGCAGCACCTGAAACACAAACAGTGCACCACTACAAACCTTGCTGTGGAAACATCAGATAACAGAAGAGAAATGGGCTGCATTTATTTTCCTTCTCTTCACTGAGAGAAATGAATAGTGAAAGAAGATCCAAAGTAATGATAAATGACTTTTTAAAAAGTCTTTCTGCTTGTAAAGCCTAATATTTATGTACATGAACACGTGAAGCTCTGTAAGTATTACTCACAGGGCCTGACCCTTCTAGTTTTTACTCATAATGGACTTGCACATTTACAAATAGCCATTTCCCATGAGTTTTGTCATCCCTTAAACTTCTGTTTCTCCCCTCAGCTTTATTTTATTTAATCACATCAGAATGTGCATTAGTCATGTTCATAGGGTTGTCTTTTTGTTGCTTGTTGCTTTACATCCACTAGGCTACACACGTATTTTAAGTCGTTTAAAAAATAAAGTGTGTGTGCAGTGGAGAGAAAGAGAAACACCACACTGTTGTTGTGCTTGTATGTCCTGATGACTTGAGAGTATGGCAGGGAGGAGCAGGCAGCAGCAGCTGCCACAGCAGTCACACTGAGAAAGAGAAAAATCCACACGTATTCATATGGTATACAAACATCAGGCCTGGTGGAAGACAACTTGCCTCCCCATGCTTATCAGTGCTGTCAGCCTGACACTGCTGCACCGCAGCTGGCTGGCAGGCCTCTTTCATTAGGCTCAATGTTAATGACAAGGTACGTTGAGGCAAAGGTGAAGGCAGAGCACATCTCATGTGCCTGTCAGGGACACAAGAGCTAATTAACAAAATGGTGTCATTAAAAAGATGCACATTTTTCTTGCTGAGCTGTGCCTGTTTTATTTTCCTCTCTACAGGTATGAAAATGAACAGCCATTCAGAAAGGCAGTGGAAGATGAAATTAATTCCCTTTACAAAGTGATTGACGATGCTAATTTAACTAAAATGGATCTGGAGAGCCAGATAGAAAGCATGAAAGAGGAGCTAACTTTGCTGTCAAAGACTCACGAAGAAGTAAGTCCAGGCTTGGGGTGCTGCAGAGCTAATGTGTGCCTGCTTCATGTGGCTGGCATCGTGCACTGGGCAGAGCAAGCACTGGAGCACTGCACCTGCCATCTCCTGATGGGGGAAACTTCCTACTGTTCTCCTCTTTGTTAATTTACAGTGCTAACTTTTGAGGCATGATAAGGTTACACAGATGTGAGTGTCAACTCTTTCCTGTCTGATAAATATGGCACTGAACAGATGTCCATACCCCATTTTTTGCTGGATAGGAGACAAGACGTTCACAAGGTTGGACATCTGAATGTGGAAATCCCAGAAGCAAAAGGTCAGATTCACAGCCACAGAGATGTAAAGAGAAAATGCCTGTACAGGGGACTGGCTCCAGTCGTGCTGAGCTGACAATGTCCTAACTCAATGTGGCTCAGGATGTAGCTGAGCACAATGCCTGGTTCCCAAAATCGAACCCTCCGAGCAGTGCGCTGAAGGAAGCAGCAGGAACAGGCAGCTGAGGCGGATCGCCATATTGCCCAGCCTTGCAGTACATCCCCAGTTACTCATTACGGTCACCTGCACTATTTGCACGACTGTGGTTTATTCCCTTCAGCAAGGATTTCAGCATCTGGCCCAGATCTTCACCAATGGGGCCTCAATTAGGCAGCTGCTACTCAACTCATGTAGGAGGCAGTCAGCAGTTGTGCTGATGGCTCTAAAGTAGAGGAGAGATTGAATTGGGATGTATTGTGGATGTGAGGCTCTGTCCTTACATTTCTTTCAGCTGATTTTTTTTTTTTTAGCTGATTTTTTCCAGATACGAGATTTTGGCAATACTGGTAGGCATGTGGAGGGTTGGGGTGCTGAGGGAGAGCTTCATCCTGTCCCCACTTTCATGAGCCTATGCCTGGGACTGGCTTTTTGCTGAAAGTGACCGGTGGCTTCACTACCGCTGCAAGCCACAAGAAAGATGGAGTTTCTTTTAGATAAGAAGGAAAACATGGAAAATTGGAATAGATGTGCAAGATCCCCTCTAAACTTCCATGTATTACTGCAGTGTTTATTGTGAAACAAAGTTGGCATTGATGCTCTTCTCCACCTGTACATGTGGCACAAAGAAAACAACAGCTTCCCAGCAGCTCCTCTCCCTCTGCATTCAGCCAGTGCCACTGAAAAAGAAACCCTCCTGTGCACTAAATCACTAACAGTGAGGGCACCCACCACTGGGGACCAGGTTTAATTTCTCTGTGGCACCAAAATAGTTCTTCCTCAAACTCCTCTCTGAGGCTACCATTCAGTGATCCGTTTCACTTTTTCTTATGTCTGTTATTGTTGTTCAAGGATGTGAAGGTATTGTACAAACAGCTTGCTGGATCTCAGCTGGAAGAACTTGATGTTCCTCTGGGAAGTGGCCTGGACAACATACTGGAAAAAATCAGAATCCATTGGGAGAGAGACATTGAAAAGAATCGTGCTGAGGCAGGTGCCCTGCTCCGTACCAAGGTAAGCACTGATGCCAGTGTCCATAAGTTACTCCAGTGTCTAGAGATTCAAAGCAAACCTAAAATCTGCCCAGCACTTTGCAATAACTTCAAGGGCTGGTTTTTGGTTTTGGTGTTTTTGTTTGGAAATGGCACCACTGGTATCACAGGTATTTGTGGGAGATTCTAAGGGCTCTGCAACATTGGCTAAGAAAAATGAACTTAATCACTTGATACCTCCTGTAGAGGATGCACCAATCATTACCCTACTTACTGGGGCCTTTCCTTCTCTGGAGAATGTACAGAGACCCATAAATCAAAAGGGCAAAATACCTCACTCTGTGCTAGTTATACAGCTACGCATTCCTCATGCATTTCTCCTTGAAATTGTTTCCTTTGGCAGCAGGGGGAAAACTGGAAATGAAAAGTGATAATAGATATTCTCTTTGGAAGTTGTCTCCTCTCTTGATGCTGAATCTAAACCAGCCTTCTAATGCAGCTCTTCCTCTGTCACAAAGAATCACTCATTTTCCTGCCCAACTGAAGTATTTGTGCAAAACTGAAGCATTAAGTTCATGATCCTGTATTTTAACAGCTATCTAATTCTGAGTTGGTAGTGACACATCAACTCATAACTACAGCTGTGCTGCAAAGATATTTAGCAAAGATGCAGTCTCATCTGTCCTTTGATACAGAGTTACTATGGGAGAGGAAGGGAGAGGTGGTGCCAAAGAGAAAAGCAAGAAATACGTTTGCAAAGACGTGTGCAAGTTCTGAGTGGGTGTCTATGTTCAAAATGAAGAAAACAGATCGTATGACAGTGATATCTAAGATGCTAGGGAATGTACAAGGGGCCAACTAGGAGTTTATCCTGGAGGACACACATTCTTCAATGTCCCCACTTCTCTGTTCTAATTACTCCTCCGTATGTGCAAACTGTCAGTCGCAACTTCATTCTCTCCATTTCCTTCGTACCTCCAACCTTTCATCTGCTCACAGATATGATTTGGAGAGAAAACTGCCAGCTCAAAATGACCATTTGATCCCACAGCTGTGATTTCAATCGAGGCCACCATCAGATGCAGCAGAGAAACTGATAGGCAGACAAAGCCTGACCCCTCCTTACAAACCCAGTTTGTTGCAGTTGTACTTGTTTTGATTTGCTTTTCTAATGGCAGAAAGAACCAGAGTATCAGAGATTTCTGGGAAGAACAGTTCTGGTTTTGAACAGGTTCTGGTACAACATTCTAGCTTGGGTTCTTTTTGTCCCCAAATTAAACTCAGATCATGCACCTTTGTATCTCATCTGGATAAATACACTTTGTTACTATTTCTACAGGTAGCAGGAGCTATGCTAAGTATGACCAGTGCATTTTCCAGCCTCCCTGTGCTTCTGGGTCACACCATTTTGTCATCCAAATGGTGACAAATCTGTCTTTTCACTTTTGCAGCATTGAAAGAGGATGAGAACTCCTTAATTTCTGATCTATTCTTTGCCTCACTTTTTCTTCCAGGTAGACTTGCAATTTTGGGTTGATTTTCATGGGTATTTATGCAGAAAAACAGTTTATACCTAGTGATGTTTTATTATTGTTATTTGATCTTAACATGTACAATAAAAATATGCATGATTAGAAAATCAGAAGAGAACCAAAATGAATTTTCAAGGTAGAATGGAAGTATTATACATGGTTTAACTTCAGTGGTAATCTGGATTGGATTTGACTGAAGAATCAATTACTCTTGTTAGAGAGCCCAGAGCTACGGCCTGAAAACCTAGATCACAAAATAGCATAGAAGTATATGAAAGTGCATTTAAAAGATCATTAGAAGTATAGAAATTTTATTTTGGCTAAAGTATATTCTCCTTCAGCAATATTAGAGGCACCTGAATGTAGCATATATAAAAAATGGCAAGCAACAAGAGCATTAGAATCCTATGTGAATAAAGGCAGTGTGAATATATCCGAAATCAAATAGGCCAAGTGAAAACACTTAACTTCTGAAAATTGTTATAGTAGGGCCACAAAAAAAAAAAGACAAGGTATAATTACAGCAATGTTTTCTTTTCATAGGTGATTTTAAACTTGCCAGTAGGAATGTTGGATAGCTTTTGTTGACATAGACAAAGTATGTATGCTTACATGTATAGGCCATTTTACATTAAGTGCCTAGACACTAGTAACTAACCAAACCATAACGGATGGAATTTAATGTACAGTGATCAAACTCAAAATCAGAATTGCCACAAACTGAAAAAAAATATTAATGGTCATGTTGGAATGTAAGACAACTAAACCATAATTTGAGTACACTGTAACTAGAAGCCATAATCTTGCACCAGCAACAGGCTGAAGCGACAGCTGCAGTGCGAAGCCAAGAGGAAGAACTGGTAGAGGGCCTGAGAACTGAGTTCCATGAAACTGCCTGCAAAATACAGAGCTTGCAAGCCGAAACTGAGTCCTTGAGAACCTTGGTAGGTAACAGTGGTTTTGAATGGTTATCTTCTGTGCGACTTCATCATGCTTTCTGCAGAGAGCATGCCCTCATTGTGTCTTCAGTGTCTCCATACTCATCTTAATATTAAGTTTCACTGAGATTGCTGGGCAGGTTGTATTCTGTAAGGTAGAACAGTTCAGCTGGAAGAGACTTTCAGTGACCATCTAGGCCAACTGCATGACCTCTCCTGGTGTAACCAAAAGCTAAGGCATGTTATGAGGGCATTGTCCAAACGCCTTGAGCAATGACAGCCATGAGGCACCAGCCGCCTCACTCGGAAGCCTGTTCCAGTATTTGACCACCCTCACAGTAAAGACATTTTTCCTCGTGTCCAGTCTGAGCCTCCCTTGGTGTAGCTTTGTTTTCTTCCCTTCCTGCTACTGGTTCCCAGGAGCAGAGCCAGCACATCCCTCTGCTTCCCCTCCTTGTAGAGCTGCAGGGAGCAATGACATCACCTCTTGGCCTTCTCCAGGCAATGTAATCCAAGAGCCATTAGCCCCTCCTTACAGGACATGCCTCCCAACCCTGTCACAAGCTTTGTTGCTCTCCTCTGCCTGCTTTCAAGAGGAGCCCAGTACCTTGGAACCAAACTGATTCAGCTTTTGTAATGATAATACACGTTTTTCAGACAGTTTAACAAGAGAAACTCTCATAATATTAGATTGCCACTTCAGCATAGTCAATGAATATATTGGCCAAACCTGAAAAAAAAATTACTCTGAAGCATATTAAAACTATTTTAATATCTGGCCTTATAGAAGAGGGGTCTGGAGAATTCCCTATACGATGCCAAGCACTGGCATGAGATCGAACTGCAAAACCTGGGCTCTGTCATTTCCAAGCTGGAGGCAGAGATGGCAGAAATCAAAGCAGAAACTGAGCAGCAGCAGCGGGATCGTGAGAATCTGCTGACCAACAAGCAGCAGCTAGAGAAAGACATTGCTGCATATCACTGCCTTCTGGATGGAGAGCAAAGCAGGTACTTTCATCTGAAACACGCATGGGCACTCTGGGAAGAGAATGTGACTAGAGCAGTTCTCAGGTTTCTTAAAGCTGGGTGGTAGGTGGGTAGGTTTGGAGAAGCTGCCAAAGGGGAAGAACACCCCACATCCAGCCATGGTGAAATTCCTGATATGTGGGACAGAACAGCTTTTCAGTAGTCACAAAAGGATGAAGTTTAAAAATACAGCAGAAGGTCCATCAGCCCCGCTTCCCTGAAGGCAAAATCTGAAATTAAACAGCAGCTGCACCACCTGGGGGCTATGCCTCTGGCTGCAAACCATCCATGCTGTTGTTTCTGTTTTTTGCCTTGGGTACGTTACACCTTCCCTCCTCTTCCAGTTATACAGTCAAAACATTAAAGCTGTCTTCCTGGGAAAGTTCCCTTTCTAATCACGTAAGTTGCTCCTGAAGTCTCAGAACAGAATTTGGCCTGTTCAGTGACCCTTTTTGAAGAAATGTATTTCAGATTTCTAACAGTCATCCTCAGGGAACGGCCTGTAGACTCTTCTACAGCATTGGACTGCTTGTCTGGTTGTTTTTTGTTATCTGTGTGAGTGTGTGTTTTAAGATCCTTATTCACTGTTAGTCGTGGAACTTCTGAGGATCTGAATCCCAGATTCTGACTTGCTCTTCTGCTCACGTCAGGGAGAAATTTTTACTCATCCTGAAATAAAAAGTGTATCAGATTTGTTTTCTGCTGCACAGTCAGGTCCTGGGGAGATTTCAGCAGCTGAAGTGAACATTTAGTTCAATAACTGTCTTATTTGTAGTAATGAATCTTATTTTATTTTTTAACTTTCAGTTGATCATGAAATTCCCATTCTATAGAAGATCATTGCCACTCAAAGCAAAAGAAGATGTCACTGCTAAGTATGTTCTTGGAAGCTAAATGCCCATCAAAGCAGCCTGCTTTATTCAGTTTGATTCAACAATCAAAGTAGGTTGTAGCTTGAACAACTTTATTAGACCCTCTTCATGTAATTGCTTTGCTTACAGATTTCAATTTACTCATGTTGTTAAAATTATAATAAAAATAAAGAATATCAGAGGTTTTTTGTTTGACTTTTTCTTTCAGTATTTTTTGTGATAGCTGAGGGGGACTATGTTAGCAGCATAGTGCCGCTACTTCCCACCAGGTCTGTTTCTTGGTTTTAGTACAAATGCATTAAGACTGGACTACTCCTGTACTATGCAACCAGCACAAATGACAAGTACTCTTGTGTTACAAGACCAGTGGCTCATTAGAGTGAAATGTAGTTAAAATGAAGCCCGAGCAATTCAACTGTTACATCAACTTGATGCAATTAATTCTGCAATGCATAAGCTAGTAAGAGCACTAATGCAAGCATCCAAACAGTACTTAGTAAATATGCTTTGACTCTAAACTAAACTTTTGGAGAAGTTGAAGGTTAAGGAGAGCAACAGCATCTCTGTTTGCAGTCTGGGTCACATCCTTTTATTGTCCACTCTGTTGGATCAGGATTTCACAACACAGATACAAAAAGAGATAAGACTGTTTATTAAGTGGACTCAAAGACTACTTAGAAATGGCATATATTAGAGAACACTGCATATAGCAGCTGTGACAGGCTGAAGATATTTCAATTTTTAGTTGAAACATTAGCTAACAAAACTATTTCATTTTTAATGACAGTTAAGATTCAAATCCACTGCAAATCCACTACACTTGATCCATCAGTGAATAAGAGGAATCAGCACACAACTGTCAAACCTTTCCACGCACGTTTCCCCACATGTGGAAAGTCCTTCCTGGTGCAATTATTTGACAGACAATTTCTTGACTAATCTCTGGAAACAAAAAGCCCTGTGAGCATGCACTGCCTGGAAGATTTTTCTAAGACATTAAGAGATTAGCCAGCAACCCAAAAGAACAAAATGATGGCAAACCCCTTTTTTCTCTTACAGAATGTATGCTGCTCAGAGCAGTGATAAAACCTTCTTCCACATCTGTGCAGAATTTACCAAGTTGAGAAACCATCAAGAGTAGTGGTGATGATAGATAATAGCCATAAAGAGCCGTACATGAGATGCAATGACACAGATCCTTGGATTGTTGTTAAGCAGATTTGCTGTGGCAGAGACTGAACCAGAACCCTTTTGCAAGCTGCTCTGCCCAGCAGCTGCACTTTCCTAAGAGCACCTTCTCCAATTCCCTTCGGCAGGCATCTGCCTAAGAGTTACCAAGTTAATGTTCTGCATTATCTTGTGATCCGCAAATGTCAAAGCAGTCTGAGGTACTCCTACCTTCATTTCACAGGATGGAGATAATTTGGTACAGATAAGTCAGGATAAGGCAAAACACAAAATGACTGGAAGTTTGTTCCTAACTCTTCCCCAAGTTTTGCATCGTCACCCACAGCACCCTTTGCTTTCCCTTTCTGCAGCTTCTCCACATGCATAGTGATTAGTGCTGCATTTCTACAACATGCACTACTGCTTCATTCCCTGGTATATGTAAAATGCATCAAGATGCACAGGGAACAGTGTCCTGGCAAGAAACATCATAACCACAGGACAGAGTGAAGGTGTGCAGGCATGGCAGTACGCCACGGCAAGCACACTGCGCCACACACTAACATGGGGGAGAAAAGAGACAAAGTCCTCCCTGCAAATCTGAACCTAAGCAGAGGCACACAGAACACTGCATCTTTCCAAGGGTTGGTTGCACAGGTCAGTGATATGTCATGCAGTAGGAACCTGTCTGCTGAGCTCATGCTCCCGTCACCACTGCGAGGCATTCTGGATAAAGTCCTTGCATTGCAAATGTTATTTCTGCTAGTCTGTGCCTGCAAGCCATTCTTCAGCCAACTGTCCTCTACTCAAGGACTGAAGATCACCGAATTTGAGAGGAAAAGAACGTCAATAATGACCTTTTTTTTTTTTTTTAAATGACTCTAATATATTACACCACAACAATCTCAACCATATAAGCTAACGCAACACATTTGCAGCTGACTACAAATTCTGCACATCAGCATATTTTTGCAGTTTTGCATAAAGCTAGAGGTGGGAGGAAAATCTAGGCATAGCCACGTAACTAATGCTTCCTGTAAAGTGCCAACTCAGTCGTGTCTTTAAATCTGGATCTAAGCCTTCAGAGGCCTAAAACATTGCTCCTATTTTCCATGGTTTCCACTGAAACCATGTTAAGTCTGTTCCACATTTAACAGCTGAAATTTCTCTTAGTACTTGGCTCCTGACAGGTATTAAGTTTTTAATCCAGAGTTGGTCATTCCAGCCTTACGCTATTTTGTTTGCAAGGGATAAGAGACGCAGACACTAAAAGCAAAAAAAAAGTATCAGATTCACATTCTTTAGCCTGATACTAGGGATTTCCCATAATAATGCAATGAAAACATTTTACCAGCAGCTGAAATGCAAAAAGCGTATCTTAGAATCACCCACAGCACTGTACTTATGGGCCATTATTAGCTTCTCTGCTACAAAAGCTGAGGGATACAACTTATCTGCTTAGTTGCATTTTGTTATCAGCACTGAGCCTGCAAGTCACGGCCTGGTGCAGTGCAGAGATAGGGGAGCTTCCCAGGCAGAAATGCAATGCAAATGCAAGGGAAGGCAAAAGAGACTCGAAGACTTTCCCACCTACCTGTCCTTAGCAACTTTCTACCAGCTGAGGAGGGCAATGTGAGAGACCAGGTGCTCCTATGGACACAGAGAACGAGACTTCACCGTGGAATCTGTTCTCCACTGATGCAATTGTGCCTATGGTAAAACAGAAAGCCTCGCTGACCACGCAGCACTCTCAGCGTCACTGGGTGAACAACCTTCAGGAGCGCTCCTGCTGCACCGCTCAGAGCTGAGCCCCCACACCGGCACCCGGTGAGGTGCGTTTCCCCGGGGTACGAGCCCCACCTTGGCTAATTTGCCCCAGGATTCACGAGGGACACACTGATATCCCGGCTATAGGAGCGCCGTACGAGCACCACTCCGCGGGCGCTGAGAGGAATGAGCCGTTATCCCGAGGCGGGAAGCAGCCAACGTTCGGCGCCACCCGCGCCCGGCACGCGCCGAGAAGCCCCAACGCGCACGCGCAACCACAGCCCCACCCATCCCGCCGCCTGAGCCCAACGGTCCCCGGTGCGCCCGCCCTCGCGCCTCCTCGACCAATCGGCATCCGCGCCGTCACCTCCCCGCACGCCACGCATTCTAGCGTCGCGACGTCAGCGGCTCGCCCCGGAGGCTTCTGACTGGCCGGCGGGCGCTTCCTCCTCGGCCGCTCGTTGGCCGAGGGGCTTCGGCGCACGCGCAGAAGTCTCTGCCCGCCCCACGCTCTCCCGCCCGGCGGCGCGTCAGCCGGAAGACACCACCCCCTGGCTCTAGCCGCGCCCCCTCCGCTTCGTGCCGTGTCAAGCGGCGGCCACCGGCGTGGAGTGCGGCAGCCTCCCGCCGCCGCGCAACGGGCGGGCCCGGCCGGCCGCTAAGCGCTTGGGGACGCACCTGCCGGCCCGGCCGCTTCCTGCCTCCTCTCGCCGCCGTTAGGAGCGGCACCCGGCCCCGCCGCCGCCATGGCGGAGACCGAGGAGAGGAGCCTCGACGACTTCTTCGCCAAGCGGGACAAGAAGAAACGGAAGGAGAAGAGCGGCCGCGGCGCCGCCGCGGCTTCCACGGCCTCCAGCGCTTCCAGCGCCGCCTCCAACGCCGCCGGAGCGGCCGCTGCTGCCGGAGGACCCCGCCCGACCGACGGCGGTGGCGGCTCGGGGGCGACCGCCTCGAGCGGCGGCTCCGCCAAAAGCAAGGTGCGGCCCGGGGCGGCGCTGGGGGAAGGGGCACGGCCGCCTCCGGGCGCGGGGCCGCGGCGCCTTCCTGCCGGCAGGGGGAGCGCCGGGGCGGCGCCGTCTCGGCCACGCGGGGTGCGGGCGGCTCTGCCCCGCCGCGGCCACGCGGGAGGCACGGGGCTGCGCCTGCTGGGGGCGCGGAGCCCGGCCGGGGGAGCCGCTGCTGGGAGGGCTTGGGATGTGTGGTGGTGGTGGTGGTGGTGGTGGTGGTGGTGGTGGCGGTGAGAGCGCGAGGTGAGTGCTGGCAGCTGGTGTTTGGGGCCTCGCACTGCGTGTCGCTGACGCTGGGGTGCTCGCGGCTTTCTGGCTGGAGCAAGGGCGACGGAAAACCTTCCTGCTTTTTTCTTGTCGGTGAACGCGGCTCTGGTGGCTTGGGTTGGAAATCAAGTTCCTTAAATGCGAAAGGTGCGTTAATTTGGGAGCTGTGCTGTTTCCATGGAGATGGGGGTATAAGAAGTCTGCAAGCTCGGAGCTGTGGAGTCGCAAGTGTGCGGAAGCCTCTTAGTCCTTAACAGGCCGTGCGGTGACTCCAAGCCGCTTCTGCTGTCGCTTCGGGGCAGGTCGCAGCCTGTGCTGCAGGTCGGTGGTGTGCAGGGCTCCTCAAAGGAGCTGTGTCCTTAGCTGCCCGACTGGAAGGACACCGAGCCGTTGGCATGCATGCTGCGAGCGGTGTAACACAGGAAGTATGTAACTGCTAATTAGGCAGCGTGTCTCCAACCTGTGACTAAGGAGAACTGCTCGTCTGTTCTCGTCTCCTTCAGCCCTACTTTAATAACACCGGGACCTGCTGAAGGACAAAACTGGATCTACTCAGGTGGATTCCACCTTCCTCGTGTCCTTCCCGGAGGCTAGAAGCGATTCGGGATATTCCTTGTTCTTTGTATCCTCTGAAATATATGATGGAAAAGTAAATCTAAAGCTTCATAAGCATTCAAACTGTCATAAAAGCTCAGTAAAAGGAAGAGGTCTTGCCCTGCATTTCACAGCTCTCTGTTGCACAGTTCTGTTCCCTACTTGGTGTTGCTTGCCTTTCTTCTAGTTTTTTGCTAAGCTGATGTGGTTATCTTTCACTTGAATGCCTTTTTTTCTGGGGCGTTTTGTGACTGTTGTAGTGAGTTAAAATCAGTTAAAATTAGCTCACAGGCACATTATGAGAATGTGCAGTAAGTTAGGGGAGGAAAGAGTGGGATCTTTTTCCTTGTTGGCAGTGGTGCACAGATTGGTTTGCCACAGAGCTGCGTATTCGCCTTTAGTTTTCTTTGTATTATCTTGGCTATCATCTCTTCACCCCTTGGTAGAAAGATGGTAACAGCTTCTTTCTCTCTTTCAGGAAGAGGATGACTGGAAAGAGTTTGAACAAAAAGAAGAAATTGATTATAGTGGTCTTAGAGTTCAGTCGATGCAAATAAGGTACTTCTTTTTTTCCCCTTTCTTCCCCATCAGACTTATCCTTGCTGTTTCAAAGAACTGTTTTTTCTCCCCAGAGTGTGCTTAAAGAGAGCTTTGATATGTTTCAGCTAGTGTAGGTCTGATTGCTGTGGGGTAGCTTAGGCTATCTGTCATTTTGATGCTTTGGGCCTCTCTTTTGTTTGAGGCTTAAAGTTTTCTCCAAGTACTTAAAATTCCACTTATGTAAAGATAACGGAAGGGGAATTTCTCTGAGAGTAATGCCAGGTAATTCCTTCTGAATCACTTGCGTGATGTAAGGATATCTGAGTCAGTCTGGAGCAAATTCCTGAATGCTTGCATCTCTGTTTAAAGAGTACAAAAATATAGTTGATAAAACCACGACGTTGTGATGAGACCCGCAGGACTGCATTTGTGAGCTTCATCCAAGATGCTTTGTTTGCTTTTTCATTAGATTCTTCCTGTAGTCTGATCCAAAGTAAGTCTTCTTCAATCTGTTCTGGTTAATAAAAAGGTTTCATCAAGTTGGAAAAAGGATTTTAATGACCACAGTTTTAGGCTGAAAATATCATGTGATCTTTCAAGTACTGATAAGCTTCAGCATTGATCTGCTTCATTATCAATTTTTTCCCTCTTTGAAGGCAACTAGTCCTAGGCTGTTTACAGGTTTCTGGTCCACAAGCTCTCCATACCATCAGAGTGGCAGAGCAGATAAGCGACGTGTCTGAATGGACAAGTACCAAGTGGGCTGCTCTGCTGGTTGAAAAGCGAGTGCTGTGCTTTTCCAGACAAAGGCCAGCATTCTGAATGCTTTTGACACTGGTGTATTTTCAGGCACGTGGAACTTTCTGTCAGGGGATTTTGTAATGACTTAGTTTACAGACTGAAGGGTAGACTGGACAAGCAGATGGAGGACAAACCCACTGGAGGCTGTTGGTTATCCAGCTCAGGAGATGTTTTAGCTGAAAACGAGATACAAAGTACTCAAGGGGGGGGGGGGGGGGGGAGGGGGGAAGGGGAGGAGGATGTAATGACTTCTTGATTAGTAGTATTTAGCATGTAATACATTTCATTTTATCTCTTACAGTGAAAAGGAAGATGATGAAAGTGAAAAAAGAGAAGAACCTAGTGACAACTGGGAGGAAACCAGTGGTGTTGTAGACAGATCATCTGGTCCTTGGAACAAGTCAGCTCCTGCACCAGCACCTGTTGTTGAAACAATTGGTAAATGTGACTTGGTTGTTGATTGTACCAGTAAGAATTGAGCTACTGAGAAGGCAGAGTGCAAGGAGTAGTTCCTATTCCTGTGAGGGCTTCTGAGGAACAGAGTTGATAAAGCTGTCAGATAATTACAGCAAACATGGCAGCTGTCTTTTTTTATTTCAGGCTTCAAAGTGGGGAGGATGGAAAGCATCTCATTTTTAATTATTTTTAAATTAGTTCCCTCGACTTTGTAATTTGCAGAAAATCAGTTGAAAGCATTTCTGTGGGTCAAAAAATATTGCTTTGGTGATAAGTGGGTGTTCAGCCTGTATCTGATGCTTAGTGTTTCACTTCCTGAGTAGGGTTCAATCATTAATAGCACACTGTAGTTCTTTCAAATCAGATCTAGGGTACATGGAATATGACATTGCAAAATGAATTATTTTACTGGGAGAAGACTTTAAGTTGTTTAATTTCAATTCTTAGTATCGGTGGATGTGTTTGTTTTTGTACCTGTAGAAGGGGAAAAAAATGTGTTATTGTAGGCTTTTACCTTAAATGTAAGCTACTTGAGTGTTCCCTTCAGCACATGGAGAGGTGCTGTAAATGAGATTTGGCAAGGATGTAATTACCATAATAACATGTTTAGATCTCAAGTTTCGAATGCAAGCTGCTAATATATTGCAAACAAACAAACAAAAAAACCCAAATAAAGGTATTCTTAGAGATTGAGGCTCTAAACTTTGGGGAGCAAAATGCCAAAGCTGCATTTCAATTCAACTACTGAGTATAGATAAAATTAAAATGCCTTATCTGGAATATTTGCTTCCCAAGTTCTAAAAAATGTAGTGACGTGCTTGTAAGGTTCTTCTTTCTGTGTATGTGTGGTGGTGGGGTTTTGGTAATTTTTTCTTGGTGGCTTTTTTCCATGATGAATGCACACTTACCCTGTTGTCTCCATGTTGTTCCTATAACTAGTTACAGAACCCCCAGAGCCAGTTCAGACTGGTGGTGTATACAGGCCGCCCGGTGCCAGAGAGGGTGGCAGGCCTCGGAGGGCACAGCAAGGACCACCTGAAATCTATAGTGATACACAGTTTCCATCACTGCAGTCTACTGCCAAGCTTGTAGACAGTCGAAAGTAAGTACACTGCATTCATTCCTTGAGAGAGAGATTTTTACCTCTGTTTTATGTTGTTACAACGATTAAGCCCAAATCTTTCCACAGAGAAAGAACTGAAAAAAACCAGTCTCTTTGGAAAAGAGATGGGAAAGCTCTTAACTAGATTTTCTAACTCTAGGAAGGGCTTGCCTTGAAATAACTTGCATAGGATGATGCCCAGTAAGAGAGCCAAACAAGATTCCCAGCTACTTAATTGACTTGCTGGGGGATTTTTCCAAGTAGGATGTTTTTGCTCTTGACAGCAACTGATTTCATTAGATGCCAGCTGCGATGAGGATCTTTGATATCAGTTGTCAGAAAAACAATTAGAATGTCTTGAGCATGCTTCCTTCTCATCAGAGATGTGAAGGTAACTTTAAGGAAGATAAATAGCCTGATATTTATTTCATTTGCTTGGTGTTTTGACTTCTCGATGTGATATTGATCAGCACAGCCTTGCTGGAGCTGTTTCCTTCTGGTTTTGGTGTGACTTTGTCTACTTGGCAAATGAGATGTGCGTTAGGGCTTGAGTGGTGCAAATTGGGCAAAGGTGGAAATATGAGTATTCCAGAAAGTGAATGGATTTCTGTTTTCAAAACATTATCTTTCATAAACGTACTTGAATTTATTTTAGAGAACG